TATATATATATATATATATATATATATATCATCCTGGTGATCATCATCATGTTAAATTGTCGTGTGGAACTTTGACAAACCTTTTCGTTGCCATCTTGCGTTCCTTCTACGTAGTTGCATGATAAATCAATTGCTACCTATGACATTATTAATAGAGATAATTAGATGCATATCACACTATTCTTATGTATTTACATATCAAACACCCAAAGTTTGATATTTATACTTATAACACACTTTCATATCATAAGTCCATGCATAAAAATATATGCATTTTAGGATTTACTTGCATGCCACCAAACTTCTATATATTTACATATACATCTAAGATTAAGACTTTACTCTTTAAATTTAATTTATATCATTCAAAATTTTTATATCACATAAAAATATGATATAACTTTTCGTGTATAGGTGAGATGACATATACATGAAAGGTGAAATTAGGTGTTACATATGTAAATACATATAAATTTAGTGGTATTTATGTAAATCTTCCAATCCACTTGGGAAACACTATATGTGTAGTCTTCCTTCTATCAAGTTTATATAAACCAAATCCTCTGTTATTTTCTTGAACCAAATAGCCAAGGCTTCTAAAGAGCTATGGGCAGTCAACTCATAAGTCTTCTTATGCTCTCTCTCCTCTTCTCCCTCACCACCATTTCTAATGCTTCAAGGCCCATTCCTGATTATTATTCCCACGACGCAATCAAGACCGTTAATCTCGGCGGTTGGCTGGTCACCGAGGGATGGATCACACCTCACCTGTTCGATGATATTCCTATAAACAAAGATCTATTGGTAACCCTCTCATACTTCTTTCTTATTTTTCATATACATATTCAATTATAAATCAAGGGATTCAAATCGAATGATGGCACGGATTGCATCAAATTATGCATTCGACAGCATGATGCGACCCACACTGTCTTCCGAATGTAATATTTATCGCTTGTCTGTCTGCGCGCATGTGTGTTAATCAATGATGTGTACATCTTGTTTGTTTTGTAACTTATAGGATGGAACACAAATTCAACTCAAGTCTATAACCCTAAAGAACTACCTCTCAGCCAACAATGGAGGGGGTTCAACGGTCAGCGCAAATCAACCAGCAGCATCTACATGGGAAACATTCAAAGTATACTTGCTTGATCAAACCCACCTTACTTCATCATTCAAATTTACATTTCAGCAATATTAACATGAATTTAAATCTTAACGGTCGAATTTTTCTTAGTTATGGAGAATCACAGAGACCAGTTTTCAGTTCAGAGTTCTGAACTGGCAGTTCTTCAGCCTCGATGATAATGGAAAACTGGTGGCCACTTCGACCGCATCGGACGACTCGAACTCTTTACATAATTTCATGATCCTGAGGAATGATGGTGAGCCCAATCGAGTCCGGATCAAAGCTCCAAATGGTTCATTTTTAAAGGTGAATTCAGATGCAACGGTGACCGCTGATCATCCGGAGAGAACTAGCTGGGGAGACGATGATCCTTCAGTGTTCTTGCTCACCAACGTGCTTCAGTTGAAGGGGGAGTTTCAGGTCACCAATGCCTACGGATCAGATAGCGCCGCCTCTGTGATGAAGGTGAGATGAGTTTAGTTTTGACCAGGGGCAGAACCAACATCTTTTTGGGCACCCCGTCTTGAACTCAATATTTTCTACTTTTTTTGTGGGGGATAAATTTTTTTCACTTATTCATTATAATTTGCAAAGTAAAGTAAATGTTCCAAAAAATTTTCATTGATTAATTTATTCATTATAATTTGTAATGTAAAGAGCTTCGTGAAGTAATTCATAATTAATCAAGCTACCGACATGGGTAAGTCATCCGCGGGCTCTTCCATTACTCATTTCGCTACACTGTCGGTCATCTCCATGATCATAATATATCTCCTCTTCCTTCTTGAAACGCTTCCATCTATCATCCCACATTTTCATCTTCCTAACCACTATCTCACCTTTATGCATCCTCCGCGAAGATTTCGCCGTCGGTTGGGGCAACATAAGAGCGGTTAGGGCAACATAAGAAAACAGAGCAATATTTTAAGGCGGATGAAAGACATAAATGTTATTATGGTTAGCTTAAAGTCTAAAATTCAGGATGGGGAATGGTTGCCCCTCCGGACCCAACTTAGGTCCGGATGTTTTTAATACTAAACACAAAGGTGTGCCTGAGACTGGAATCTTGCATTCATGGTGCTTGCAGAAGCATTGGGAGAGTTTCATTGTGGAAGAAGACTTCAAGTTCGTGTCTGAGAATGGATTGAATGGGGTGAGGATTCCAGTTGGGTGGTGGATAAGCTTTGATCCAAATCCACCTCGTCCATTTGTTGGTGGATCGTTGCACGCATTGGATAATGCCTTCTCTTGGGCGGAGTAAGCTAAAAATTAAGTTTTTCATACACATATGAACTTCTGTCTTCCATAAAAATTTGATTTTTATTTCTTTTTTTCATTTTTCAATATAGGAAGTACAACTTAAAGGTGATCATAGATATCCATGCTATGCCGAGCTCGCAGAATGGCTGGGAGCACAGTGGAACAAGGGATGGATTACAGTCATGGGGTCAGAGTTATGATGACATCCGTCAGTCAACTGCTGTCGTTGACTTCCTAACTTCCAGGTATTGCTAATTTCAGTGTTGACCTTAACTTAATCAAATGAAACTTGTGATCTACAAGCATGAATTGAGCTCGAGTCAAGCTTGAAAAGTCGAGCTCATTTACACCCCTAAAATGAGGTTTAGCATACTCATGCACCGCTCATTATTCTACATGCAGATATGCCAATAGAACGAGCCTATATGCA